TTAGGTCTTAGCTTTTGAAATTTGGAAGGGATCTTAGAGCTTAATTTTTAAAATTTGGAGGGGTACGTAGGTCCTAGTTTTGAAAGTTCAGCGAGGATCTTAGGTCTTAGCTGTAAAATTTGGAGAGCATGTCAAGTCTTAGTTTTTGAAACTTGGAGGGGATGTTAAGTTTATTTTTTGAAATTTGGAGGGGACTTAAGGTCTTAGTTTTTTGGGATTCAGGGGGGATCTTAGGTCTTAGTCCTTAAGACTTGGAGGGGATCTTAGGTCTTAGTTTTTAACATTTGGAGGGGTGCCTAGGTCCTACCTTTGTAAGTTTAGAGGGGGATCTTAGGTCTTAGTTTTTGAAACTCGGAGGGGATCTTGAGTCTTCAGGTGATTCCCTAGTAAAAGAACCCGCAATAGATTTCCAATGAAACTTGGTATGCTGTTCTTACAGGACAGGGAGATATTAAAAACGTAATAAAAAGAGGGGGTCACCATGCTTGTTTTCACGTCACAATGCTGACAAATATGGTTATTTAGGTGAATTTTGGTAATCTCCATGCGCAACAAATAAGCTCGATTACTTTTCAATACAGAAGGTTATATCACACAGAGTTTGACTTTCTTTGATTGTGTATTCATCTACGTCCCTAAAAAAATGTGTTCAAATACCCTGCATTTTTTTATCCTTTATAGGAAACATAATTTGGACATGCGCTGTTGGGCCCATTATGTCTCCCTCTGTAGTATTTATTTCATTTGCCTAAAAAGTAATCATAGATTTCTGCTGATTTTTTGTCAGTTTTTGATTATATTGTTCTCATTGAAATTATGAGATAAAAAGTGGGGGTCACTGTGCTCGGTTAAGAGAAAAGGAGCATTTATTTCGCTATTGAGCTTAGTTTGAGGGAAATCTCTTACGTTTTGTATGCGCACGTGCTCATGTACACACGCTAATGATGCGAAAATTGTGCGCAGTAGGGATGCGCAATGCAATACTAAGGAATCACCTTAAGTTAAGAGGGGATCTCAGGTCTTAGTTTTTAACATTTGGAGGGGATCTTTGATCTTAGTTTTTCAAATTTGGGAAAGATCTTACGTCTGAGTGTTGGAAATTGGGAGAGGATCTTAGGTCTTAGTGTTTGGGATTTGGAGGGGATTTTAGGTCTTAGTGTTTGAAATTTGGAGAGGATCTTACTGTAGGTCTTAGTTTTTGAGATTTGGAGAGGATCTTAGGTCTTAGTGTTTGAAATTTGGAGAGGGTCTGAAGTCTTGGTGTTTGAAATTTGGAGGGGATCTTAGGTCTTAGTTTTTAACATTTGGAGGGGTACCTAGGTCCTAGTTATGTGAGTTTAGAGGGGATCTTAGGTCTTAGTTGTTGGGATTTGGAGGGGATTTTAGGTCTTAGTTTTTGAAATTTGGAGGGGATTTTAGGTCNAATTTGGACATGCGCTGTTGGGCCCATTATGTCTCCCTCTGTAGTATTTATTTCATTTGCCTAAAAAGTAGCCATAGATTTGTGTTGATTTTTTGTCAGTTTTTGATTATACTGTTCTCATTGAAATTATGAGATAAAAAGTGGGGGTCACCATACTCGGTTAAGAGAAAAGGAGCATTTATTTCGCTATTGAGCTTAGTTTGAGGGAAATCTCTTACGTTTTGTATGCACACACGCTCATGTACACATGCTAATGATGCGAAAATTGGGCGCAGTAGGGATGCGCAATGCAATGCTAAGGAATCACCTTAAGTTAAGAGGGGATCTCAGGTCTTAGTTTTTAACATTTGGGGGGATCTTTGATCTTAGTTTTTCAAATTTGGGAAGGATCTTACATCTGAGTGTTGGAAATTGGAAGAGGATCTTACTGTAGGTCTTAGTTTGAGATTTGGAGAGGATGTTAGGTCTTAGTGTTTGAAATTTGGAGAGGGTCTGAAGTCTTGGTGTTTAAAATTTGGAGAGGATTTTAGGTCTTAGGTTTTGAAATTTGGAGGGGTACCTAGGTCCTAGTTATGTGAGTTTAGAGGGGATCTTAGGTCTTAGTTGTTGGGATTTGGAGGGGATTTTAGGTCTTAGTTTTTGAAATTTGGAGGGGATTTTAGGTCTTAGTTTTTGAAATTTGGAGGGGATGGTCTTAGTTTTTGGGATTTGCTGAGAGGCGTATTGATTGATGGATTAATTGATTCATTCATTGACCCTATTTATTTATTTTATTTTCTTTTCTCAGGTTTTTCTATGTGGTTGGGGAGGGGGTTCTTGATGTACAGGTACATATCTACAACTTATTTGCTTGATAGTGATCAAATGTATAAGGCATGAAAAACATCCAAAAATGTGCACTTCAGGGATAAAGTGTCATCCACAATGTCATATTTACACCTTGATGGCTTTACATTGAAAAATATTGGCCATCTTGGATCTCTGTTACTGACTGGTTGACACACTGAACAAACATCAGCACAACCTCTGCATTGTTTTGGTTTAAAATTTATTTGGTTAACCAAATGTTTAGTGTATGCTAGCTGGTAATAAGTTAACTTTTATTTTTACACCAGTAACAGGACTCTAACAGATGCTCATCTTGCCCTTCGAGATCAGATGTCAACAGGAATGAAGTGGATCAAGTCTTCGAGCAGTTATCTCTAGTAGTGCATTATGTTTTACTTTGCAATCCAGCTTTTGGGTGAACACGGTAAACAGGTCTAAACAAAGCTATCAAATAAGCCAAGTTCTGCTCTGACTTATTGTCCTCTGACATGCGATGTATTTTCACCAAGGTTGATTTGCACAGTCAATAAGAACAGCTTTCCAACAACACTTTATTTTTGAAACCATTACTAAATAACTAAGTGACTTGTTAGGCTACTACTAACACTTATTTGAAGAGCTCATTGAGTGAGTGATAACAAGATTACAAAATTTTATTTGATTGATTGGTGACAGAGTAATTGTTTAAAAGATAAGACAAACTGGCTAACTGATTGATTCACAGCTGGATTGACCCACCGACTGACTACTGATGACTGACTGACTGACTGACTGACTGAATGACTGAGATACAGACTGACAAACTGACAGACTGTCTGACAGACAGATTTCTTAGCAAATTGTTTGTTGGATTTATTGTCAAACTACTACTGACATGTGCCACATGCATGCAGACTGATGGACTGTAGAATGGATGAATGAAACAACAAACTAACCGACCACTGATCATTGGCAGATCGAGATGGACAAACAGACAGACAGACAGACAAGCAGACAAACAGATAGACAGACAGACAGAAACACGGTCTGACTTGACAAAATGAATTGAAAACCTGTATTTCATCGGGAGCCTCAGTATATTCTTTTGTTCATGGTGTAGACTGTTTGCGGCTTCTGTTATCTCTGAAGGCTTTAGAAGGAGAATGAAACTTGACAAAAATTGTGGACAAAGCAAAGAAACCTGGATCGAAGTACATTGCATGTCTGGGGTATTAAATATAGACAGTATGGTCAAACCTCACTTGGCGACCGTACATGAGTGTGGTAAAGTTCCAAAATTGCATGTATAGCCAAAAAGTCTCTGAGAGAATTCTATCAAAAGCATCCAATTTAGTTTAAAAAAATTTGAGAGGTTGCCTATGGGTGGTTTGATTATATCTTTACTTAAGGTAAACCTTGACGAGTACGTTTTCCTGGTTTCATCTCCCCTGATTTACGTGTTACCAAAAAAACTAAACAGATATCACCCACAATTAAAAGCAAAAGTCGAGAGCTAGAAGCATTAGCTTTGGAGCAGAAAGCTTCAGCTAAAGCAGACTAATTATTTTCTCAGTTACAATTTCGCACAGCAACTAACCAAACATTGAAGAGAAAATATTCTTTTTTGTTTTCCATGTCTGTTTAATTGGCTAGAACTATAAGTTTCAACGGATCAGGAGAATTGTTTTTTGTAAACGTAAAAAAATGGCAATTTTTGGTTGTAGTTTCGGTCGTTTGAAATTCAAAACTTTGTGGGCGATGCGTACAAGAAAAAATTGCATGCTCTTTTGGTTACGATGATTTCAAGGATTTTTTCATGTAGATTACTAGTGTACGATAAAATTTCATGGTAATTTTGAATTATTTTCCCGATTTTCTAATTGGTTTTGAAATAAATTCCGCACCTGAAGTCGTAACCTTCAGTTGTAAGTTTGGTTTCTATAAGATCGCTCGTTTTTTATTTTGGTCGTGCTGTAGGTGTACCCTCAATATTCCTGAGTTCTTTCTCGTGAAAGCGAATATAAACAGATCAAGCGCCGAATGAAATTCAGTTCTCTTCCGGTTTCGATTTTCCTCACGTTCACTTGCGGTTATTTGGAAACGAGCGTAAAACGGAAGCATAATTTAGAGGTTTTGGAAAACGTACTCTGATCCAGTCCTGAGTGATGAACATATTATTTCTCCTCACTGTATCGATACATTACCAAGCAGACTGATGATGAGAATAAAGAAAATCATCAACTCGACTTAGGATAGTCTTGATATACTACCAAATTCTCAAAACTAACTCGAAAACACTGAGAGAAATAAGTAAGGAGAATTAATATGTCCAACTTGGAACAAACTATCATGTTTACAGTAGTCTTGAGGTCTCTATAAAACTTAGCGATACTTTTAGGAGTAGGTTTTAGTAAATGGTTTGTTTCAATGGACGCCACGATACGTTTCAAATTTTATTTGGAGTTTTAAACTGCATTTGCAACCTTGGCACAAATTCTGTGCTTCTTAGGATAGTCACACACGCTTACGTGACATCATGTCACCTATCTACTTAGCTTGAAGACCACAAAAAGGGATTTGAAGATAGTAAATTCACGTAACACTTTGCGTTGAGCCAAAGACAATTTATTTCGTTCGCTTTGAACTACTAAGGGACATATCTGTGGCGTATTTTGTCATGAAAAACGAGCTGTTTACTAAAACGTAGTCTTAATCGTGCTGCAAAGTTTTGTGGAGACTTCACTGAACTTGGCTTATTTTAGTTTATCTGGTTCACTCAAATGGTTGGATTGCAAAGTCAACAACATTTTATTGAAATAAAAACTGCCTCTGTTGTGTATGAAAAAAAAAATGAAATAAAAAAAAATAACCTAGCCAATCTTATCCCTGCTGTTGTGTTGCTTCCACTCTGGTGCTCCAAGTTAGTGTTGTTTCTTTAGTCCTCATTTAATATTCCAACTTTAAAATCCTGGTCTGTTTTATCTCATCCCTTCACTCAAGCTTGGGACAGTTGAACACTTGGAAGAGTCGACCGTTTGCTCCCAAGTGGGGTGGACAGTGTAAAAGAAAGTGAGAGTTTACTCCCCATGTCTCCGGGGTCTCAATCTTAATTTGTCACAATGCCACACTGGAGTAATTTTGGAATTGATAAGTGAAAAAAATTAATATGCCAATTTGTAATTTGATTGAAGATGCTAATCCGCAAGTCCATGCATCGAAAAAAATAGATGATTTGCCGAGGCGGCCGCCAAATAAATTAGCTCGCCCTCCCAGAATTGGATGAAAACCAAATTAGGTTGGAAATGCCCACGACCTGGAGAAGAAAAACCGAAGCGCTAAAGTATGGCGCTTAATTTCAGTGCTTAACCGTTGAAATCAAAGAAAGATTTGAACACAGAATTCGCCAGTCTGACTTCCCGACCAAACCACCGGCGGACCGTCATTCCACAAACTTCACCAAAGAGCACAAGTCGCCTAAAGTCTCTCATCTGTGAAGCTACCGATGTCAGATTTCTCTCTTTAATTTGGATGAAAAACACTGGCCGATATTTATGTTGAAAAAAAGTTCAGTGTCGTTAATAATCGTTAAAAAAAAATTGGGAAAAGGTTAATTATTTGGTTTATTCGGCTTGTTTGTTTATTGTCCCATTTCGGATTACGTGACGTTACTCAGAGAAGCTCGTGCAAATGAATGAATAATTTTTGCCAAACAAAGGAACGATTCTCCAGGGAACATCCGTAATCTGAAACGAGCAATCAACATACGAAGCGAAGAAGAATATCTGTCGTTATTTGTAAAATAAAACTGTGCTAAAGAAATAAGGCGTACTGCTGCTTAGCATTTAAAATGTGGACGTCAAAAACGAAAATGAAATTAGATGTAAAGTTATGTGGCATTTGAATATTAAAAGTTTAGGTGCGCATGCAAAAAAATAATTGCTTAATTTTGTTGTCGCTTTTTATCTTATTTGGTAGGGTTTTAATTTAAAATCCTGCTTGACTCGATATTTGAAGACTTAGTACTAAAAATTTAAAGTAAGTTACAGTTTTAAGTTGAATATTTTTTAAGAGCTTTTGCAACACTTGCTTTCTTTACAGAGTAGAATTGCGTGACAAACAACATAACTGTTGCAAAGAACTTTTAAGTTCCTTTGTTATTTTGTTTGTCACGCAATTCTACTCTGTAAAAAAAGCAAGTGAAAAGTTAAAATTTTGAAAACAATGGGGCCGGTTAATGCTTACTCAAATACAGAAATACCGAGCCTAGCTGAAAAGCACTAACCAAAAACGACAGTTATAGTGATAGTGAATTTTTCTTGGTTTTCAAACAGAAAAAATAAATTTCAATTTCACAAAGAAAAAGTATATTAACTTAATCTATATTTATGTAAATTAATTTATATTTTTAAATTTTGCACGATTCGTAGGAGGAAAAAAACACAGAAATAATCAATTGAAAGTGGAAAGATAACCCTTCGTCAATAGACTGATTAACTATGAAATGAAACAACGTCCCTTTAAAACTATAGTCAAGTCTAAGCCTAAACCCCGAAACCCCAATTTAGTTATCACTCAAGAACCTTTAAGGAGACTAAGCAACAGCTTCCAGCACTAAGATTTCTGATTTTGTTTTGGTAACTAACACAAGAAATAGTTTTCAAACAAACAATAATATTGGCCAAACATAGATTCTCATGTTGGTTTCCTAAACAGCCCCAGAAATCCCAGTGCAGAAGGCTGGTGTTTCCCCAGTTTCTGGAGTGGTGAAGTAATGAAAGTTACCTATTCTATGAGTTACAAATAAATTAGGACAAGTTACAAGTTGAATTAAAATTAAAATAAAGAATTGAAATTATTAGGTTTTGTGAATTGTTTTATAAAGAAAATGTAATGTAACTGAATTAGGAAAATTAAGAAAAAACAAAACTTAGTAAGAAACTGCTAAAACATTTTTCAGAAATATTTGATTTCTTTATAACTGGGCCTAGGAATATTATTGTTATATTATTTTATTATTTTAGTTTTAAAGGTTATATTTTAATGAAAACCTATGAAGAGAGAACATCTGACCCAGTAGCAACCCGTCAGAGAGACCCAGCGACCATCAGCTCAATTTAATGTCATTTGTAAAAATCCAATCAAGTCAGAGTGATGAAATTCAGTGCCCTCCTCTGTCCATGCTTTCTCTAGAGATGCACCTTCCTCAAGCACCATAATTCAGCACTCCTATTTTATGTCCCCAGTCATGGAGCATTTCTGGATACATTGACTGCAAAGAAGCACTTCATTGGGCCGAAATTGAGTGTGTGGTACTGTAAGAAATTAAGTGAAACCCTGAAGGCATGAAAAGCAAACTCTCACCTTCCTTCACACTGTCCTCCCCACTTGAGAGCAAACGACCCACTCTTCCAAGTGCCCAACTGTTCCCAGCTTGAATTACAGGATCAGATAAAGCTTCCCAGGATTTCTCAGTCAGAATATTTCAGAGGACATCAGAAACATACACCTTCTCAGAGGCAGAGCTTCCACAACTCAGTAGGGACATGATTGGCTAGATTTGTGTCTTGGTGTGTGTGCCACCTTCTGTCCTGGAATTAAATAATAACCTAACAACTAATATTATTAGTAGATACATACAAGCTCATTAGCATCAAAAATAAAGTATGCTGCAATAAAAGAAAAAATAGCTCTTTCTTGGTGATACAAGTCAAGGAAAAAACGTTGGCACCTACACCTTAATTAACTCAGTGTGTGCAAGAGTTGTGCTCAGAGTACTGAGCATAAAAATCCTAACAGCCTAAAAGTGCATTCCTAAAAAAAAAAATAAAGTTTGTGGAGTTTAAAGGAAAAAGCACAAGAAGCTTAAGAGAGTGTTCAAAATACAATGACTTGCAACACCAAGAAAGAACCAAGAAATTCATGGAAAGTAAAGGAAATATATTGATCGAAGTTGACCAACAGTCTGCATTATGAAAGTCTTGGGCATAATTTTGTGATCATTTGTATAAAGTGGTAAGAGGTTTAGTGATACTTGCATGGGTGTATCAAAATTTTGTTTCTACATTACATGTAAAATACAATTATTGTAAAGTAAAATCAAACCTAGCTGTAAGTTTAAATGCAGACCGTTGGTCATAAATATAAATTAACCTTTACATATATGTCTATCCTTATATTAAACTATGAGAAAAACTAATATGGAGTTACCCTGAAAAATTAAGAAATTCAATCTGAAAATGAGAATAAAAGCTTTGGAAACTAAAAATAGCCTGATTCAAAGAAAATTCCTATGTGACCTTTTAAAATGATATTGTTTAGTCTAAATTGCTGTTCTCTTTTTAAAGAACA